CGGCTAACGTCTCGGTACCTTCGCCTTCACCAGAACCGGATTGATTCTGGTAGATTGCCCTTCTTCCAAAAAGGAAGAGCTCTAAGCAATCGATTCAAATCGTTGCTGCTTCGAAGAAGGCGTCGACGCCGAAACATCACCCACAATGAAGATTTGTGCAAAATTCTAGGGTATAAGTTCTCCAACAAAACTAGACTTGTAAAAATTGCCTTTCTCACCATACTAAGTAAGTTGTCTTTGAGCAGTTGTCCCTTATGGGTAATTTTCTGCTCCCTTCTAATTTCTTTTGGTTGTTATTAAATACTGGTTACAGAAGTGTTTTGCGGAAGACCTATACCGGTACAATCACAAGAAACAGTTAAAAACAGAACAAAAGAGAACATAACACACATGACACTTGAACGACCCGTCCTCACTGGTTGTCCGAGCTCCAGCATAATCACCATTTATCGGAGATTTGCTGGTTAGGTCATTGCGGTTCCCTGGAATCCCGAGATCAGCCTGGCGAAAGTCTGCTTCAGGTCTTCACCATCACGGGCAGTCGCAGTCCTTGTGGATCAGAGGAAGATTTGCCACCATGCGACTTTGATACCAGGACGGTAGCGGTTCCTGGTATTGGTTTACTCTTAACTAGGCTTCCTGGTGGAAACGCCGGACTCCTTCTTAGCTTGCGAGACCCGGCCGGGTGACGAGTCTCCCCGGTGCACATCGCAGTCCGACACCCAGGAACACCTCCCAGCCACGATGAGGCTGTAAATCGTTGGGAGGACAAAAGAGAACTAGTCCGAAGAAATGTCGTCGCGAATTGTGTGAGTCGTGTTCCGCTGTCAACCCTGATGAACGAAGGTGGGATCCCTAAAACTTCCCAACGTGATGTGGAATTGATAACAGGATGGTTCTACATCTACCTTTTCCGTACTACAATCACCGTTCCGGACCCTGAAATTCCCGCTGGAGGAAAACCGCCTGAAATTTATTCCAATTGTGACAGAAAGTATAAAAAAAAGACACAGCTGATCCGATAATATTACCCTCAACTTTCTTAAAGCTGGAAGCCACAATTTAGATGTACTTCTCGCAACGCACATGATATCCTACCTTCAAAAGGAGAAAAATTCCAGACCAGTGGAATACGTTGCCTACAATTACCCTGCCTAAAAAAGGTAAACGAAGTGTCCTTTCTACCCATCGTCCGAAATGCTTGCTGAGTACATTCTGCAAGTTTGTAACGAGAATTATCGTGTGGTATGTATCAACGAAATTGGATGAAGTATAAGCAGTTGAGCAAGCGGGATTTCGAAAGTGATTCTGCTGCATGGGCCACGTCGAAACCATAAGCAGGTTCATAGAAGTTTATCGAGAATAACACCTACTCCTAGTCCTGACGTCTGTCGACTGTAAGGAAGCGTTCGACAGCGGCGAATGGAATGCAAATCCATCAGCCCTCATCAATCATGGAGTGGATACGTCCTACATAAGAACTCTATCTGCCTGTTTTCAGAACTGCACCGCGGAAACACAACTTTTTAATCGATCGCTTACCACAAATCCATAGGAGGAGTTCGACAAGGTGACACTATATCTCCAAGGCTCTTTAGTTCCACAATTTAGTGGATAACGAAGTCACTCGATTAGGTTGAGGAAGGATACGTATTGATGGAAAGCTCCTATTAAATCTTCGTTTTGCTTATGACATCATCACTTTCTCAAGAAGTATCGATGAAGCAGAGACGATGACCAATGAGCTCAGTGTAGAGACTTCGTTCATGAAAAACACACGGTGCGAAGGCGAACAGATCAAACTGAATGGTTCTCTGATCCGTATGAAATGCTGGGATATTTGCAAAACTCCGGACTGCAGGTGTAATGCAGTGGGGAACGAACACGCGCTGTTGTCCTTACCGGGACCAGCGCACTTCACCACCACACCATCCGGGTCTTTCGTCTTGCCTGTCTCTCAGCTAGTTCTATCGATCTTTTTGCCATCAGCAATAACCCGTCAACGGGATTGATCTGGAAAGCCAATATCGGCATTGAACCCAGTTAAGCTGAGGCTTAGTTATAATCACAATCTTAACCCTTTTATTTACTGCCTTTTTATTCTTAATGGCAGGGTATGTTGCGAAATATAACTCGTATGAAATGCTGAAAAATTTGCAAAACTCCAGACCGCAGGTGTATGCAGTGGGGGACGAACACGCGCTGTTGTCCTTACCGGGGAGCAGCGCACTCCACCACCACACCATCCGGGTCCTTCGTGTTGCCTGTCTGATGACCTGCGGTCTGGAGTTTTGCAAATATCTCAGCATTTTATACGAGTTATATTTCGCAACATACCCTGCCATTAAGAAGAAAAAGGCAGTAAATAAAAGGGTTAAGGTTCTGTGATTGTTAGAACCATCTATTACTTGTACCTTGGGCGTTCAATGAACACGAGGGACAACATGAAGGCGGAATTAGACATAAGAAAGAGAGCAGCATGAGCCGCATTCAGGCCTGTCAAAGAAGCTATCGACCAACCAAATAATCAGAAAACCCGCTATCACCCTTTCGATTCAACGCTCTATTATGCAGCAAAGATGTGGGCTGAAGAATACTACGCACAACTCACAGAGCGCTTGAGCGATGTTTTCTGAAATATAACTGGCACGTACAATATCTAGACGGAATGCGAAGCTCTGTTCTTCGAAATCAATCTCATCTCTGTGACCAGATGAACACAATATCGATAGCGAAACATGGATGGGCCGGTCATATAATGTGAAGAATAGAGGACAGATAGACGAAAAGAGCTGCAGAGTGGGCTCCACGAGTATGCAGGCATCCCCACAGGAAACCACCTATACGCGTTGGGCCCACCCATTCATAACCGAAGTTAAACAGCTGTAGTCGCAGTTGGAGATGTTCTAAAGATCACCATATGAGACTGGCACCCGCCACCATACTCAAATCAAATCACCACCGTGGACGACCATTGCGAGGCAAAGAAACGAATGGAAGATGTGCTGAGCTCCGCAAAATTCGTGAGGACGGGCCGTCCAAGTATTCAAGCAAGTGTTAGTCTTAAATACAACATTACAACATTTCGATTTATACTGAACTTCAGTTCACCACACAAGCAAACCCACTTGGTAAAGATATCGAAACGGCAAAGACCCTTTGGGATGATTCTCTGAGCAGATCCGCAGTGATCTGCCATGAACCTGATCTCAATAGATCGGTCGCTCAGAGGGGTGGCAGCGGTAGTGCAGATTGTTAACTGACGGTCGCACTCTGCCACTCCTGCATCTCTGTCACAGTACTTTCAACCATCCATTCATTAGGTCATCCATCCCAATCATGAGGTTTCCGATATTCGTGGGACTCCTCAGTGTAATTTGCGAGCTTCCAAGTCCATGTGAATCATAATGATTTAGCCAGCGAGTCTTATTTTTTAAAGAACTTTCGGTGAGAGTTACAACACAGTGCGAATTTTCGATACTGCCTGAGTTTCAGCTTTTCTTCCATTGTTGTTTGCCATGCACTTTTCCTTTCCATTTTCAAGAAATCCCTCTAATCAGAAGTCCTGAATTGTAGTGAAGATTTGTACTCCTACTTTCTAAACCCACTAAAGTCTTAATATGGTGAAATCTGCTAAGAATTCGACATCTCGGTTTTCCACTCCTTATCTGATTCATGTAATATTTTAAAAATCGTCGGCCGATAATTTTAATAGTCCATTCGTTTAGAGTTGTCTTTTTACTTCTGTGCTATTTTTCTGTTTTCATTTGTTACAATGTTAACTTTTTATTTGCTGCCTTCTATATGGCAGGGTATTATGCAAAATACAACCACAATAGTGCTGAGATATTTGCAAAACTCCGGGCTGCAGGTGTCTGCAGTGGGGAACGAACACGCTATTATCCTTTACGGAAGCTAACGCGTTCACCACCACACCATACGGGTCCTTCGTTTCACCTGTCTCTCAGCTAGTTAAAGCTATCATTGTGATTTAAACTACATCCTTAGCTTGGCTGGGTTCAATGTCGATTTGGGCTGCCCAGATCAATTTCATTTATTACACTTGTAACCGTTGTCGTGAGATCTCTTGATGAACTTTCCTTGTTACCTAGTGAATAACCATGTAAGTTGAATGTTCAGATATTACAAAGTAAACTTTTTGTTTACCGCCTATTACAATTTTTCAAGGCAGGATATTATGTGTGATACAAACAAAATGATGCTGACATATCTGCAAAACTCTGGACTAAAGGTGCAAATAAATAAGTAATAGTAAATAAAAAGTTTACATTGCGATTTGGACTACAGCCTCAGCTTAACTGGGTCTATTGCCGATTTGGATTCCCAGACCAATCCAGTTGTCTGGTAATTGCTGATGGCACTGATCGATAGAACTAGCTGAGAGATACGCGAAACGAAGGGCCTGCATGGTGTGGTGGTGAACATGTTAGTTCCCAGAAAGGGTAATAGCGTGTTCGTTCCCCACCGCAGACGTCAGCGGTCCGGAGTTTTGCAAATATCTCAATACCGTTCTGATTGTCGAGATACTGTTTTTCAACGTTTAGCAAAATTTGCACGTTTTCCATATTGACAAGAAAAATGGTGTAATGCGGTGACAGTTCGATCTCATATGGACAAAAGTGGTTCAACTGTCAGCTGGTGACCCAGTGAACGTTGATACCGTTGCTATTTTGGGAAATTCTAGGATTAACCGGCTGTTCAGCAGTGGCATGGATTTCGTTAGTAACTGGATTCCATAAATTATTGTATAAGACCACACCAGAGTTAATACTACACTAAATTAATAGATGTATCACAGAATATGTATGTGTAGCTTCATTGAATACTTCAGCTCCCTGATTTATTCCCTCTTTCTCTTAGTTCCTCAAAAAAGCCCCCATGCGACCGATTCCATGCTGTTCTCTGTGTTCTGTGCGTTTCGCTGAGCCGCTTTCCTCTGCTTTTTTCCGCCGTCGATCCGTAAAGGTGGCCACTTTAAGGGTCCGGCGACAATCGCCATGCGTTTCGACTGTATCGAGCGGCGAATCGCGCAGTTCTTCTACAGCTATGGTCACTACCTGTCCAGCAATCCGTTGCCGTTCGTCGTCTTCCCCGTGCTTTTTACACTCGCGATGGCCATTGGTGAGTTCTTGGCATAATAAACAGTAGCAGTATTATTTCTTTGCGTTCTTCTTCATCTAACCGTTACAGTTTAGAAGTAGCTTCAACGGATGCTTTTTTCATCTTGTCTTTAGTAATGTTAGCCAAGACGATGAGTGATAAAAAAATACTTGAGTTTATATCTTTAAACAGTCGAGTAGTAAAGAGCTCAGCAAATAGCCGATAAGCGACAACTGAGCGGAAAGCTTAAAATGTTCGTCTGTCTGACGATGGCTTGCTCATCCAAAACACATGTCTACTATGAAATATTCCCAATACGTCATGGCCGTTTTCTTTTCCATTTAGCTTACTAGGATCATTTGATCCCCCTAACGGTTTACCGCCTCATCATGGTTGGGAGGTGCTCTTGGGTGTTGGGCGGCGAGGTGCACCAGGGAGACTCGTCTCCGGCCGGGTCTCGCAACCTGACAAGGGATCCGCCGTTTCCACCAGGAAGCCTAGTTAAGAATAAACCAATGCCAAAATCCACCACCGTCCTGGTATCAAACTAGTCGCGTGGTTTCAAATCTCCCTCTGATCCACAAGGGCTGCGACTGCCTGTGGTGGTGACGACTTGGGGCGGACTTTGGCCTGGCTGACCTCAGAACTCCAGGGAACTACAATGGCTAAGCAAACTGAACTCCGAAAAATGGAGATCATGCTGGGGCTCGCGCAACCAGTGAGGACGAGCCATCCAAGCATCTAAGTAAGTAAGTAAGTAAGGATCATTTGACTGCGTTGGAAAATTAGTGTGTAAAGAGTGTGCATTGGCCAATTTTTAGCTGTGCCACGATCATCTGCAGGTTTACATGTTCCTATTTGACCGCAATGATTGCCCTGGGTTCACTTTTAATAGGTTTCTTCATCATCGTTATTCCAATCCTTTGAAATACGTGGTCATTTCAACGTCAAGGCTGGTAAATGATCACATTTGTGCCAATGTTTTGCCGCAAAAAGTGGGATCCCCGCCTTCGCCATCATTCCCTCGCAATACCCATTGCCTTTCCTGCAAAATCAATTCCAAAATTATCTGAAAACTCAATGTTTACTAAACGCTGGCAAAAGTAATCAATATTTCTCCATCTTAATGAGGTGACACGAGATTGGTATTTTTGAAAACAATTCTAGGATTCTTCCTACTTCTGTTCGGTAAACAGAAGTAGAAAGAATTGTTCAATCAATGCCGAGGTTAATAGAAAGTTGGACGTGGGAGTTCTAGGATTCTTGCACATTCAACCACTAACGGATGCAGTGTACTTATTCACTCCGCTCAGTGCACCAAGCAAACTCGAACGACAGGCGATTCACGAGAAATGGCCCCTGTCCGACGATAACTACATCGCCGGACGAGCTGTGACTCAGAATCGCGAGATACAGGTCTGCTGAACTTTATCCTACACTCCTCTTCCTATTTTGTTTCTTTACTTCAAAGAAAATGAGATGATGCAGCAGTGTTATGCTTGCTGCAGATAAAGAGAAAGTTTGATCCTAAAAGTACCGGGACCAACTTCTTCGGATAAGATGCACTCTCTGATAAGAGAATTTAGGAGAAAGATAACACGGTCTGAGAAACGATCCCATAAATTGTTTCGATATTCAATAATTATTTGCATTTGTGAGTCCCTGATCCACTGCTGGAATCCATGTATGTAACTTCGAAATGTTTGTGAAGGGGATGGATACAAATTTTCTAGCTCGCGGTAAGCACTGTTAATGGAGTTGGAAGACTTAAGAGTATATCTAATAAGTTTTGAAGCGTAGCCCACTGACTAATCAACATTGACTTTCCTCCTTCCGTCTACTAAACACTCCAGCTTTTTGACAGAGGAGAATTTCGATGTGTTTTATTTACCACTATCACGTTAAATCGGTAAAGGATAAAAAGGATAACGCTCTCGGCGTTGATCAATCCCTGAAAGATGCGCCATGCATTCGATTTCAATAAGCGTCGTTTGGAGGTAATTGAATGCATATCTAGCCTTTAGAATGTCTCGCGCGGCCTAACGATGTATCGAGCCAGTGCTGCTATCCTCTCGAACAAGTCTGGTACCAATTTGCAGACATCGGAGAGATGAAAGGCTTGGTGGGCCACGGATGCGGGGATCAATTCCACATATGCGTTGCAGGGCGCCTCCAACCACTGCGCCACTCACGCTCACATATTGCGTTAATTCGGTATAATAAGGAAACAAAGACGCATTGGTTTCTTATAAATGAAGCAACGAATTCCTTTCTAACCATCAAGGGTAGCCGCCCACTCCCTGAGATGGTGAGGTATTCCGTGACTGCCCTCACCAGAAGTTGCAGTCACATTTGAGCAGCATCGATCCCTTATCATCATTTGATCCGTACACTATTTCATGGGTTATTATTGTAAAGTCGTCCTATACAGGTGATAGCTCTCGCTCGTGATGGCGGTAATATTTTGGAGCCACCCTACAACGAAGCAGTGTTTCGCCTCGACGCGTATATCCGGAATAGGTTCGTTTTCATCTTCTCATTATATTGGAAACCGCTGATATCGACTATAGCCCACTGAATATTCTTTCATTAAAAAACTAACACGAACTTGACAAAATACTTTATCCGCCTAGCGGTTCGACGTCGTTGTCTTTCCCAGAGCCGGTTGAAAAATATACCCCGTTGAATTCTGCAATGAAAAACGCAGTGATGTGGTGATCATTTCCCATGAGAACAAGAGAGGGCCATATGACTTAGCGCTGCAGGCTCCGAACCTCTGACACTAGAACTAAGAGGAGTACTATGCTAACAATTGGCAACCAATTTGCAGAAGGCAACGATCTCAGTATTAAATGACTTTAGATGACTTTTGTAGCTAAAGCTAACCTTTCTATGAACCAACATTCGGGGTTGTGCATTTCATTGTATTACTTTCGTATGATAATAGACGAATACATTTCTTTATCTGCGGAAATTTGAACATTTCAAGCTTAAACAGGAAGTCGGCATCTTGGTTTCGAAGCTTAACCAGGAGGAAACTTGCCGTTGCAGATCCTCCTGGTAAGCTCCGTTGAGAAACAAAAATTAAGTATCAATTTAAGAAGATATATAATGTGTTGAATTGCAGAGTTGAAGTTCTCCACGAGGAGCACTACTACTCGTATGAGGATCTCTGCCTGCAGTACAAAGGTGAACCTTCAGCTACTCAGAAGACCATTTGGTGTTCCTCCTGTGTCCATCGTCGTTCGTCGCCGCCACTTGTCCCATTGTTCATTATGGCACCTTGGCCTACAACAGTCGATGAATCAAAAATTAGCCCTCTATGAGTTCTCTTTTCAATCAGAATCTTTTCCAGATAGTGGTTGTCCGGGTAACAAGCACGTTCGTAGGCTCTCCGATTTCTACAATCATGGAATCAACATCACATTTCCATACTTTCGATTTGGAACCGAGTGAGTGTGCATTATCATCTAAGCGTTCTCCTTATTCAAAACATGGTTAAGCTGAGCTGCGTTTTTGCTTTACAGTAGTGTCTCAGGCTTCAGCTGGAATCTTTTTCCACTCTTTTCTTCCTTGTTTTACACCAAGAGATTAGGACTTGTTAATTGGACAAAGTCCAAACATACTGAGGCGGAAAATTTCCAAAAGGTCCCACTATAATGGAGCACTCCTAAAAAGCTGAGAAAACACATGAACCTTATTATCTTTTGTCTATCCAAGCTAAATATGACTTATCATAGAGGAGGATACTTGGGTGCAGCGCTTGGAGGTGTGTCGTTGATGAGGACCGAAAAGGGTTCCAGTATTTTGGCTAGTGCTCGTGCGTGGTTCCTAATCTATCATCTGAAGTTCTATCCGAGTAATATTAGCTACATTTCTGGTCTCTGGGAAAAGGTATGTATCACTCGTTAGTAAACTGGCCTAAAAACAAGGTAAAAAACAAACCAAAAAGAAGTAGAAATTCAAACCTTTAGTTGAAAAGAGCACTAGATAGTTGAATGGCCCATCCTCACTGGTTGTGCAGGTCCCAGCGTAATCACGATTTTTCGGAGGTGTGCTGACTAAGCCATTGCGGTTCCCTGGAATCCCGAGGTCAGCCTGACCAAAGTCTGCCCTAGGTCTTCACTACCACAGGCAGTTGCAGCCCATGTGCACCAGAGGAAGATTTGCCACCATGCGACTTTGATACCAGGCCGGTAGCGGATCCTGGTATTGGTTTACACTTAGCTCGGCTTCCTGATAGAAACACCGGACTCCTTCTCAGCTTGGGAGACACAGCCGGTGGGACGAAGTACAAACATTGTATTTCTCGCAATATCTTTGTGTAGGAATTGGAAAGCGGAATTTGATGAAAAATAGCAAATGGAGAAGAGTTATAAAGATTTCTTCACAACGGTTTGCCTTTTGTTCTTAGCTGGGAGGTAATCCTTGGTGTCGGGCTGCGATGTACAGCGGAGGAATCATCCCCTGCCAAAGTCCTCAGGCTGAGTTCGGCGTTTCCACCAGGAAGCCTAGCTGAGACTAAACCAATACCAGATTCAGCACCGTCCTGGTATCAATCTAGTCGCATGGTGGCAAACCTCCCTCTGATCCACAAAGGCGGCGACTGCCTGTGGTGGCGATGACCCGTGGCAGACTTTGGCCAGGCTGACCTCGGGGCTCCAGGGAAACACAATGGCTAAACCAGCAAAACTCCCAAATCGGAGAATATGCTGGGTCCCGCACAACCAGTGAGGACAGGAGGTCCAAGTATCCAGTTAAGTAAGTGTAAAGATTTCGCATGCAAGCAGGATACGGTTTATAGATTACTTTCAGAAGCGCCCACTTTTCTCTGTCGCGAATAGGATATGGGGGATATGAATAGGACTACGCTAACAAATACATATTGATTGTTTAACGTAGTGCATCTAGCAAATAAGATGAAAAGGTTTCGCATAAAAACAAACAATTTTTGTTTCAGGAGCTCGCTATTCACCTATCTGCATATCCTGAAGATCCCTATATAAAAATCACATACTTCCATTCACAAACGCTAGCCGACGAACTGCGTCGAAACGCTGATTCTCTGAGTAAGTGTAAAATTCTTTCTTGTCCTAGTACAAAACAAAAACAGACGGTCTGCTCCGCATTTTTTGCTGCCGAATGCGAACACTGCTATTGATCAACCGACGTGATTAATCAGTATCCATGTACTGCATGAGTAGCGTCAATTAGCTTTGCTACTTTCGTTTTCAGTGCCTCGATTCGTAATCACCTTCACATTTCTTGTAGTCTTCTCAATGTTATGTTCGATAGCGTTCATCGATAACACTAACTATATCGACTGGGTGTTGAGCAAACCAATACTTGCTATTCTCGGTCAGTTTGTTCATCAAATTAATAAATAATATTACAAGACTATAACTATTTGAGCGCGAATACATAGGGACGCGTGTGGCGCAGTGGTCCGAGGCGCCCTGCAACACACACGTGGAATCGATCTCCGCGTCCATGGCCCACCAAGCCTTCCATCCCTCCGGGAACGGCAAATTGGTACCAGGCTTGTCTAAAAGGATAGCAGCACTGGCTCCATACATCGGTAGGCCACCGCGAGTCATTGTAAAGGCCAGATATGAATTCAATCACTTCCAAATGATGCTTAATGAAGTCGAGTGGATGGCACATCTCTCAGGGATTGGTCAACGCCGAAAGCTTTATCCTCTATCCTTTTTATAGATATTTGGAAGAAAGGATTGGAGAAAATAATCAAGCACTTTCGATGTGAAAAGCTAAAGCATTTATAGCGATCAGCTTTGATGTTTGTAAAATGTTCTTAGAATGATAGATCCGTTCGTTCACTTTCTTCCATCATTCAAGTTAATGTTTTCCTTTTCTCTCTGCGTAACTTAGATCTTTTTTCTTACCAGCGACTGCAAATGTCTGATGAGTTGTAGCCGTTCAGGTGTCGTCAACGCCGGAATGGGGATTGTGACGTCGATCGGAACGCTGCTGCTGCTCGGACTGCCGTACAGCGACATCGTCTCCGTGATGCCGTTCCTTGTCGTCGGTAATGCTTGCCGATTCCTTACGAAGCAGTGAACACCTATAGCGGAAAGCACTACTGCGTTCCGAAACGCGCTAAGCCCAGTCGCCAGTTTGCTCTCAGCTTGAGTTCACATCATCAAATAATCAGTCAAATCAAATCAGTCGTGAAATAAGAATAAAAATGAATAAATGGCTTAAAGAAGTAAGAGAATAGAGATGGAGGAACATGAGAATTTCGCGAACTTGCTGCAGCGGTCGGCACCGACAACATGTTCCTGATGGTCGCCGCGATGCGTCGTACGTCACGCTGTGCTCCGGTGGCCGAGCGGATGGCCGAGTGCCTGTCGGATGCCGCCGTCTCGATCCTCATCACCGCCACCACAGGTTCGACCTCAGCCACTGCTTCGGCAGCCTCTCCGCACTTATCGTAAGCGCTTGCAGATGCCCTCTCATTCGGCGTCGGTGCTATCACCTCCTTGCCAGCTGTGCACATTTTCTGCGTCTATACCGGGGTCGCCATCTCCTTCGCGTTTATCTACCAGTTGAGTTTAATACAGTAACAATAATAATAATAATAGCAATAACAATAGCAATAGTACTAAATAGTGATAATAATAATAACGACAATGAAAAAGGATAAATGGATAGGTCGTGGGGTGCTGATCAATCTCTTTGGGATGTGCCGTGCGTACGACTCCGTTTGAGTGCAAATTTGGCCCACACAATGACTCGCGGGAACCTAACGATGTGTTGCAGAACTACAGAAGAGACTTCCTATCGTTCTAGACCTTTATATCTTGCTTTCGACCACATGTTACTATGGTCCACCACACGTGCCTTGTTGTCGGCGTCTCGTAGTGTTGGCAGCCTACGTTGAATCCATTTCTGTTCTTTATGCTCCCCTACCATTCCATTTCATCATAGCGACCAAGTTGAAATAACAGCCAATTAAAACTCAATTTACCGACCAATGAACTCGTTCGAAAAGATTTTTTGCACATTATTACGTATATTACTATCGAACGGGGAGCATATAGTGCAGTGATCGGAAGCGCCCTGTAACACACATGAGTTCGATCTCCGCGCTCCAGGATCACTAAGTTCCATCCCTCCGAGGTCGGCAAATTGTTACCAGATTTGTCTGGGAGGGTACCAGCAGTTCCTCGATACATCTATAGACCGCCATCAGTCATTGTAGAGGTCAGACATGCCTTCAATCACCTTCAACGATGCTTAGTGAGGTCGAATGTATGGCGCACCCCTCAGGCATTGATCAACGCCGAAAGCTTCATCCTTTTATCCCTTTTATAACTAGCTAGTATAGAGAAGAGCTCATCATAGGCGACATTGACACTGCATCTGTGTTCAACAAACTATCAACCGAGTATGAATAATATGATCATAACAACAACTGGAATAGTTTAGTAATAATAACGTGTAACGTTATTATTGCGGTCCTAATGATATAATGACAATGCAAGGATGGTACGGTAGTGATAATAATATTGTTATTGTTACTATTATTATTATTTTTACTTTTCTTGCACAAACCACAATCGGATCCCAGCACTTCTTGAATTATACTGATTTCTCCATATGCATCATCCACGTAGGTCTTCGTACTTTTCGCGTGTAGGTCGACTGCTGCTTGAGTATTTCCTTTCATCATGAATGTCGCTGGATGCCTGTCGAGCTGATTCTCTCCGGAGTCCTGAGATAGGTGAACTAGAGCACGTAGAAGGACTTTCCACTGCGGAACATTTCTTTCAAGTGATTGTAGGTTTCATTTAATTTATTTTGCTCAGCTGCATAGGATGCTGAGTAGTAATTTACTGCATGATTTTCTCTGGTACATCTCTGTAGTGCAATTTTTTATTGGACCTGGCTACAGCCTTTTCGTTGCAAAGATTTGACTCGGCTACAAACCTGAAAAAATAAGCCAGTGTTATGATACAAGAAGGAAACGACAGGAGATCCTGAATATATCTTAGATGCTCAGTCGAGAAATTCGAATGGCGTCTCCAAAAACTGAGAGCTGAATATGATTGCAACACACCTAACGCGACCTGACCATGTAGCTCCGGGAAGATGGATTTAAACGACGATGTATAAAGTAAAAACAGAACATCCGAACGAGTTTCAAAAGAGGCCATTACGGATAAAGTGTCGCCAGAATCCACATGAATACAGTGGTCGGCTATGAGACGTGTTTCAGTGAATATTGAATGACAAACGGTTCTTTCTATTTTGGGGTTGATAATTTCTGGTATTGCATAACACCTTTTCCCAATCACAAGTGCCTCTCCCTTTACGCAAGAAAAATGATGCTTTGCAACCTTTGAATGGATCTTAACAGTCGAGCGAGATTTCGACGGAGATTTTGCTCTATGAATCGCGTTCAAACCGCTGTCTCCTTTGATGTGACTAACTGTTATCATAGGTAGAATACGAAAACACGGCTATTCCACTGTTCTGTTCCGAATGACACAGCATGAAAGGTGTTTCTATGCGATGCCACCTCACTGATTCTGTTCTTCACCGCATTATGGTAGGTAATGAAGTCGCTCGTATGTGATGAATGGAATTCCCCATTAGTGGAAAATTCCTACTAGACCTTTTTTTTAACTGTGTCACCCATCTGCGAAGTCATAGTGAAGCAAATACGATGGACTTACAATGAACGTGGGAAACTATTTGAAGGAGGAATTTATAGGGAGAACATAGAGCATTATTGATGCTGTTTGAATCTAGCAAATAAGCCATCGACTAACGGATGGAAGTACAAAGAGATCGGTGTTGATCATTCTCCAAATATACTCCATCGATTCAGCTTAATCAAGAGTCGTAGACGTGTTATCATGTATTGCGATGACGTATCGATGGGTCAAGTCTATGTTGTAATCTTCCAAATAAGTCTGGTATAGATTTTCATAATCTAAAGGATGGGAGACTTGGTGAGCCTAGGATGTGGAAACGAAGCATCGATAAATTCAGTGTGCTTACAGGTGAGCTCTAACCAAAGCACACGCTTATCAACCAACGGACAGACCCGAAACTCTGCGCTCACCTTTTCAACTTGACAATCTCCAAAAGGGTGGAGGTGTTCTCCAATTCGACCATTCATAGCATGAACAAACGTGTTTGTGGTGAACCTCAACCAACTACATTCGCAGCAAGAAATGTCTTACGGATCAAGGAAGTACACTCGTGGCCGTCACCATGCTCGAAACAAACTGTCAACATGAAGCATGGGAATGAAACAGTTGTCTACTGTTATTTGCAATGACTGGATGCAAGCACAAGAGGAAACTAATGGATAACTTAACCACTGCAGACTGACTACGATTATTTACATTTATTTGGATTACATGCATCGAATCCACTTAGATGTGCGCCTTCACATGCCATGCGTGATCCAGCATTTCTTTTATTTTCCTCTTGTTGTAGCTTTCGTCCATAATAGTGATCAGTCCTATGTATGTATGGGTTCGGTTGCAGCATGATTTTCTGCATTCTTTCTTCTTAAATATAGAGCAATACAATACATAATATACCTATATATACATCTCTCCTCTTCTATACGAAGAAACATTCCAGCTTTCGTTCATTCCTGTTGACTTGTGAACCCCTGAAAGGGTAATCGCAGGTTCGAAGCTCATCTGGGGTTCTGAGTTTTGCTCATATCTCAGCATTCTTTTAGTTCTATTTCACACTCCTCGCCATAAAAAAAGTGGGCAGTAAATAGAAGTTAGAACATAATGAAACGGCCTTTTCTCTTTTTGGACATGCGTCCACTACTGTATCCTGAGTTCTTGGGGTATCCTAGCACTGTTGTGTTTCTCCAGTGTTTTGCATGGCGTGCGCCGTGTTGACCTACAACGATCCATTGGTGATGTGCAGAAATTTCAGGTGACATTTTTTGCTGCTCTTCTAGCGATTTTCACGAGATTAGAAGAGTCCGGACGTAATAGCATCCTGGGTCAAAGGACTCTGACCGAATCGGATATCAAGGTGCGTTCATCGGTCCCTCTGACGTCTATTTAGACTTTAAATGTGAAAACGTGGTCATAGTACGAGCATCAATCTCCGAAGCCCGGAAGCCGCATACTACGACCACCTACCTATAGCATGGCGCTGCTGTGAAAATTACCACACCTTGGTTCATTATCGTTCCCAAAAGACTTTCTTCCATCAATCAGAAAGTGCGAGAGACGTTGCCTCCTAATAGGACTCCGTACCGATTGCGACCAATAAGAAATATCACATATTTACAAAGAAAATTAGTTTTAGCTATTGACACTTTCAGGTGGCAACTCTACCAGAGCGGCTTTTTAACCTTGGCTCAAAACCAGAACCCTCAAAGGGCAACGAAGTTAAGGAGGCGGCCGTTTCAAGATTCTTCCGAGATTGGTGTGATTTCAACTCCATCATTTTTTCTGTTGTCATACGTTTTCTGGTTCTTTTTGTTGGAAAAATAGTCTTTGTTCTTATGACGAACATTCAGGTACGCTCCGCTTCTTATGAATAATGTGGTGCGCACCATCACCATGGGTTGGTATCTGATCTATCTATTCTTCGCTTATTATGGTGTTACACAGATCAAGGTATGACGGTGTCGTGATGATGGCGACAAATGTGACATTATAGACAACCCACCCATAGTGCCTAAGTGCAGGAGATTCGGTAACCATAGGAAAACTGAGGATTATCCTAGGAAGGGGAATCCACTCACGTGGGCTAATCGCATCGTTATGACTCATAGGGAAAAGACTACGTAATGTTTCAGTATCCTGCTTTCGATTTCCTAGCTAACACAAAACGCTCATCATAACAGGAGCAGTGAAATAAAAACCAATATCAATTTAAATTTTTGGTGGCTAAACTCGTCCGAAAAAGTTTTTTTGTAATTTATTAAATGCGGAGTAAAGCTTTCATGAGCCATTTCCGTCAAAACATCTGTTTTGGGCGAGCTATCTACTGAGTGCACAAAGTATGTATAGCAAAATAAGTCACTAAAAATGAAATGAATAAAATACTGTGCACTTCGATCGCTTTGCCTTCCACGCATCCACAGGACATTACCTCGTACATAGGCGATGGAAGAGCACGCGAAGCGCAATGGTTAGAGATGCCGTGCAAAACGTGCATTCCGACATCCCACACGGCAGATCACGCAAGAGTAGAAACCGAGCATTATATGTTAATGGTGTCGATCGTTGAAATTTTCGTGATTTCCGTTTGTTCTGCTTGAGATTTGTTCCATGGATATGTTTTGAACACATATTACGTCATAGGAAGGTCTCGAGCCAACTAATCTCCTCGTTCAAGACTCCTATGCGATTCCACATTACAAACTCCTGCAGAAGTACTTCTGGAAGTACGGCGCTATATTGCAGGTAGAAAATCTTTCTATAATACTCACCTTCTTACAGTATTTATTGTTTCTGTTATTTATGTAGATTCTACAGACCAGCTTTCGCAGTTGAAAATCACAAGAGGTTAGATATATTGAATAGCGTTAAAAAGGTGATTATGACACAGGTAGGGTACTGTTAGTGATGCAGATCACCACTGGTTCGAGTCCGCACAGGGTTCACCAAGCCTTTCATGCCTCCAAGGTTGGGACATTGGTACCAGACCTGTTTGTCTGGGAAGGGTTTGCTCTCTGCAGTCCTAGTGTGAAAATCCTGGCCTGGCTATCCTTGGACTTTATGGAGAATTGGCTAGACCAGCATTCAGCGGCATCCATGATGGAAGGAAAATGCTCAAGCAGCAGCCGAAGCCACCCGCAAAAAAATTGTAAGACCTTTATGATGACGTATGCGAGGAAACTCCGCACAGTAGATGTGAAAAATGGGTCGCGTAAAGTGAAGTGATATTTAAAAAGGATGAATAGAGTTAGTATTTTAATAACCTTTTTTTACGAGTTTGAATCTCGAAAGTCCGCGCAATCACACTGAATCAGCGTTAACATGAAAACCCCTATATGAGAGGATTTCCACTCGTACCTGGGGACAGATCGGCGTCGGTTGAGATATCAACTCGTTTTCGTTGTCGTCGTTTCTTTTGATGTAGGGAGGTTTTTGTTGTATTTTTTATATTCAATCGATATCTTGTCCAACACAAACGGTTTTGCTAAGTGTTGAGCGTGAAAATTTTCTTCTACACTTGGTAGTTTACAAAAAATCGTTTTTGGCTGAGTTCATATTGCCGGGAGGGGAACAAAGAGAGTACCTACCGTAGGGATGGTTCTCGATGGGAGGATAATAGAGAGATGTTCCTATTGTGCTTGAGCAAGATGCTCGACACTTTGGAACATATTTTGGTTGCGATAAGACGGTAAATCATTGAGTAGACTTCTACAGTTGTTTGTTCAGTGGTTGTATACTCACCGTCATAAGTATTATTATGTGTGAAGGAGCAAGGTGTGCATTAGTGCGTTTTCATAGGATCTTGGTTCCAACTTTTATTTTCATATGATTCTACTGATTGGGCATCATACTCAAGTAGATTTATTTTAAAGGGTAAAGGATAAAGCTCTCGGCGTTGATCAATCCTCGAGGAATGCGCCATGCATTCGACCTCACTAAGTATCGTTGGAGGTGATTGAATGCATATCTGGCCTTCACAGTGGCTCGCAGTGGCCTACCGATCTATCGGGCCAGTGCTGCTATCCTCCTAGACAAGTCTGGTACCAGTTTGCCGATCCTGGACGAATGAAGGGCTTGCTGGGTCTGGGGCACGGCGACCGATCCCATGTGTATTGCAGGGCGCCTCCGACAACTGCGCTACATGTGCCCCCAGAATTATTTTACCAGTTGTAATTCTCATGGTTGGAATTATTCTTTTCCTCACGCAAAACCGTTATAAACGTTCCAAAAGCATGGGAAACTACATGGAAGTACGTAAAAGATATGTATGCAATAAAAAACGCCGAAAGTTTTAGAAAAATACGTTGAAAAACCGAGTTATGGAGCAGAAAGTGTGACAAGAGGAATGGAGCCATCATTTTGAAGGAGCCAGCAATGGGGGTCGACATGAGTCGAAATTCATAGCAAGTGCGACGAAAACTTGTGCGTCAACGGCAGCGACGCGCTTACGCATCCAACCGTAACGTTAATTTCATCGAGGGAAATGAAGCCACGTGTGAGATTCTATTCTAAAGCACAAATGTCTTATCCTTTTTATTTACTGCCTACCCTTTTTAATGCGGGGTATGTTGCGAAATATAACTTCAATGATGCTGAGATATTTGCAAAACTCCGGACCGCAAGTGTCTGCGGTGAGGAACGAACGCGATATTGTCCTTTCCGAGGAGTAACGCGTTCACCACCACACCATGCGGGTCCTTCGTTTCGCCTGTCTCTCAGCTAGTTCTATCGATCACTTGCCATCAGCAATCACCCGTCAACGGGGTTGATCTGGGAGCCCAAATCGGCATTGAACCCAGTTAAGCTGAGGCTATAGTTATAGTCACAATCTTAACCTTTTTATTTACTACCTACTCTTTTTAATGGCAAGGTATGTTGCGAAATATAACTTTTATAATGCTGAGATATTTACACATAGGATAGATCCCGACATCCAACGTTCACTAAATCCTCCATTCCTCCGGAGTCGGCAAAGTGGTACCAGACTTGTCTGGGAGGATAGCAGCACTGGTTCGATACATCGATAGGCCACCGAGAGTCGTTGTAAAGGCCAGATATGCATTCAATCACCTCCAAAAATGATTAGTGAAGTCGAATGCATGGCGCATCTCTCAGAGATTGATCAACGTCGATAGCTTTTCGCTTTTATTGGCTTAAAGGCTTTGAATATTGGTTGAACAGGCTCATTTTTTATGCTTTTTGAAGGTATTCAAAAGCAGATAAAAGATGAGGAAATTTAATGAATCAACTATCAAAGCAAGTACTTTACAAACTTTTTACTATGGCAAGAACTAAGACTTTAACTTCTACACAAATTTTTTTTACGAAAGTTTTCACGAGATTTTGAATGGAAATTGTCTCTCGCAGTTTGCAGCACTTGGTACTGATTTCAGTACGATCCGTGACTTGTCACCCATTCAGGTCGTCGTGAACAACGCGCCTGATCTCCGCAATGCGACATCGCGCGACCGCATCCACGCCATGGTCGGCGACTTCGCGACCACACGGCATTCGATCGGAAAGGAGTCCGTGCAGTTCTGGCTCTATGAAATGGAATCGTGAGCATTTTTTCTTGTCTTTCCACTATCGAGAACTATACTATGACTTTTGAATGGCTTTGTGGGAATCGAAGAAATTTGTAACTGGTTCGAAACTAATGGTGAATTTCGAACTGCAACTTTGAAAAGATGTAGGTGGGCCCAAACATAAGTGTGTTATTCAAAGTGGCAGTTGCTAGAATCTACACACTTTTCCCAGTAATGTAGAGGTCTATCTATTCCGACAGTCTAGAATACTGAAAGCGAAGAGTTCTTAGATGCCATTCCCAAGTAGGGTTTCGCTGTCGAAGAGCTTCCCAGTTAGAAATTGTCGTGAACAGTGAGTAAATTACTAGCCGATTAGCGAGAGCTTCACCGAGTATTCTTGAGTTTATGAAGAGTTTCGCAGCTCAGCTCGTTCAGCTTCTGCAGCGTTAGTCGGGCAACGTGTAATAGGACGTTTTCATGAACGAATGACACTCTTTTGTTTTCACCACTGCAGTTTCAGCAGCATTTATGAAGTTACTTCTTTGTTGTGACCGTTTGGCCAGGACTGTAGACTTTACATCACATTATTTCTCTATCGAAAATGGGAGACCACAACCATCTTTTGGTGCAAATTATTGTTTTTTTTTATTGTATTACATAATACAAGGGCGCATGTGGCGCAATGGACGGAGGCGCCCTGCATGCAGACCTACTACCTTAGTCCTATGTTTAAGTTTGAACTCATGAAAATTAGCATTGCAATTCTCATAGTTTTAGACCAACACTTAAGCCAGTACGAAATCATTGTATACACTGAACATCAGAGAAGATATCAAGTGGCAATTTATTGGGCAAGAACTAAGCTTTATACATCATATACATTAACACTCCAGTCATGAATATTTATTACAACATGTATCTGTAAAATTCTTTTTTATGTATATGCGATCGCTTTTACACTAGCCAGGAAACATATTTCTAAACAGTATTTTCTTTGGGCGTTGAATCCCAGCTATCAAACCCGAAATGGAGTCTAGTAGACGAGCGATGTAGAAGTCGTGGATAACTCTCACAGCTGCCAATTTGGATGCAGTGACTATCTCGTCTAGGTGTTAGAAGGCAATCATTTAGATCATAAAACAGCGAGATCTCGACACACGTTGCCGATGTTCCTCTCAAACTTTGTTGTGTTTCTCTAAATGGGGGACGACTTTTTATTAACTGCATATAAAGCCCTGTAAGCTGAAATGTAAGTCGGTGCGTAGAGTCACCTGGCGCGTTTATCGGCACACAGATTATTAACTCAGAAATTACCAGACGCAGGCAGTTCCTGATTTCCGCTTTATCAGCGTTGTCGTTGTGGTGTGAGATGAAGTGATGACACTTTTCATCCGCTGTATCGATAGTTCTTTCAGGATTTTTCAATTTTTGGTAGGTAAACACTCAGCAGTACCCTGCCAGGTTGTAACATGAGGGCTGAGTTATACTCATGGGTGGTGTACCGTATTCTCCACTGAGCTCGTTTGTTGGGTTCAAATTCATCTGACGTTTTTCCCACGCTTTGTTTGTTGTCATCCGAATCCACGTGCGGTGCAGAAATATTTTCGCACACAAACAATTATACTTATGCATGCATGAACGAATACCTCTAATATGTATAGAAAATGACTGATATATATCACGCCGGTGCAGCAGGACGAACGTTCTAACCGTTGTATCCACATGCATCTCAGAATAAGTACGTAGTCACGTTTAATCCGTCTTCATTCATCTAGCCGCCACCTGGCGACGTTCACCGCTGCTCTCCGATTAACCATCTGGACATCACCTAACGAGGTAGTTCTGTATTTTTAGACGTTCAGTAGGAAAAGTGCATGAGAACAAGATCCTGCCGAGTACTGTTGAACATAGAGAAGAAATGTGTGCTAAAAAGATTTATAGATCACCTCTTAAAAAATAGAAATATTTACTACGCTGCCAAAAAAAATAAGGAAGTCAAACTTGGTTAAGTATATCAGATTTCACTGGACGTTTTGAAGCGGTGTCTACTTTCATTCACCGCCATCATATGAATCAAAAACGTAAGCTCTACATTGGTACCACTCCATGCAAAAAAAATCGCCTTTCAATTAACTTTATACAAGTTGTACATGGTCTTTTTAGCATCAGGCTTTAGCAAAATAAAGCACAATGGTGCAAGTTGCGAAATGTCGACTGATGTCCAGGTACTACCACGATTTGTTGGATATGAAAATCATCGACGACGCCTTCTACAGCATGCTGAAACACTGGTTGACATCAAAGCACAACAATCCTTGGGTCGAAGACCTCTACTGGGATGTTACACAGGACAGCAATGTCACCGTGAAGAGTTTTCGGTGAGTTGTAGAGCACACAGAGGTTGCTGGCATGTTTGGAAAGTCTTCGTTGCTGTTTTGACAATTCTTTGTTAGTGATGCCTATAACATTAGAAGTTCCAAGGCGAAAATAAGAAGACTTCTTTCTGTCCTCGTGTAGTCCTCCTCTCCCCATCATTCTTCCGCCTTATAGTCAGAGTTAGAGTGAAGTTTTGGTTGAGTTGAAAGTAACACTCGATTTCGGAAGAAGAAAAAACCAACTGATATAAAAGTGAGATGGCACCGTTGTGGTAAAAAACAGGCTGAGAGAAAAGCGAATCATGGGTCTTAACGATGTACTTGGGTAATATGCGAGCGCTCAGAAAGGGTTTGCATGACGTTCTGTGGGTTTTATGACGTGGTGGCAGTAAATAATTTTGGCGAGGTGGTGTCACCTTGTCGAACGCCTCTCTTTCCGTCGACGTTAATATCATTATAGAACGGTGATATTTTACAATATCAATGATGTTGAGATATTTGTAAACTTAAACACCAAACCACATTGGAGGCCACGATTATATTTTCCGGCAGCTCACGCGTTATCCACTGAAACACTGACGCACTTGCTTTGCCTTTCTTTCAGCCGGGCGTTAATTGCTGACGGCATCACTCAGTGGTGCAGTGGGTAACATGAGAGCCCCAGGAAGTGTAATCGGGGGTTTAAAGCTGGCCTGGAGTTCCGAGTTTTGCAAACATCTCAACATCATCGTGGTCGTATTTCACATAATACTCTGCCATGAAGAAATAAAAGGCAGCAAATAAGAAAGTTAAACTTCGTTCTAACATATAAGAAACGATGCTATGTCCTTTTCCGCGCACGCTACGAATCATATTTGATCCAAATCGGTCGCTCCGTCCCTCCACAATAAAAGAAAAAATGAGACGTCAAACCTTTTTCTTTTAAGCAACATTACTTATGCTACTATGAAGATATACAAGGCAAAGGATTGTTGCTGGCCTCATGTATTTGGGGTTCTGCACCAGGAGAAATTTCAGTAGCATCTTCATCTTTGGTAATCTAACCAGATAACACATTTCTGCACCATTTTCACCAACAGTAGCCTATGGAAAGATGAAAAACTCATCCGAAAACATTTTTTGGAAATTTATTAAGATCAGAGGTAAGAATTAGTCCAATGATAGCTGAGAAAACTGTGTGCATAAGCAATTGGTTGAATACAAAAAGTTAGTTTGAAAATTCTGTGTGACAAAATAAGTAGCCGCAAAAAATATGAGTGATATCTAATTCGTATTAACTACTCCCGCCTCGCGTATGACTCGTATATGATTCGTACATTCAAGTATATCGTATCCGCTTCATGATGTTGACGTTAATAAGTACAACAAGAATGGCTCTCGCCAATACGTACATAGTACGAGCCACGGCAACGGAACGTTGTAGTAAATTAACTAGTCTTGTATTACTACTTGGGTGCTTACTTGGACATCCCACCATCACTGGTTGTGCGGACCCCAGCACATTCTTCATTTTTTGGTGTTTTTCTGGTTCACCTATCGTGGTTCCCTGGAGTCCCGAGGTCAGCTTGTCCAAAGTCTGCCCCTCGTCGTCACCACCACGGGTAGTCGCTGTCCTTGTGGATCAGAGGGAGATTTGCTACCATGCGACTAGTTTGATACCAATACGGTGGTGGATCCTGGTATTGGGGTACTGTTGGCTGAACTTCCTGTTGGAAACGCCGGATTCCTTCTCAGCTTGGGAGACCCTGCTGGGGACATGAATCCCCCGTTGTTCAGGAACACCTCCCAGCCACGATGAGGCGGTAAGCCGTTGGGAGGAGTCTTGTATTAAAAAATGACAAACTGATGCTCCAAAGAGTGTGTAAATAACGAGGGGAATTTCGTTCCCTAAATTACTTATTATTAGATCAGTAAGGAACACCGCGGAAGCATTATATCCCAAATTTGTGGTGCCAGTGACAATAAAGCGAATCTATGTGAGATGTAGAAAAGTAAAGTTTATTGTGAAATCGGTTTCATTTTTCCTTAGAACAAGTCATAATAAGAAGATCTTCAACTGACCATCCTCTTGAACTCTATAGATAGGAACTTTAACAGTTTTCGTAAGAATCACCTCTAAACCATCTGCAAGACAGATTCAGTCAAGTGTTTTCAGATTTCTGATAGGGATGTATGACATCTCAGCTACTAAGGACCAGAAGGACGCAACTGTGTTATTCAGAGAAGTGGGCGTTTCATTCCTGTCTGTTATATGATAACAAATAATTCCAAATACATCGAACCCTTGTGCAGGTATAATGCAGTGGCGGCTTGAGGTAACTCGGAAAACACACCTGGTCGATAGCTACTTTGATGTCACACTCCGGGCCCATCAATCCTTCCATCTCTCCGGAGTTGGCGAATTAGTACCGGATTGGTCTGAGAGGATAGCAGCAATGGCCTGATGCGTCGCAGGCTATCGCAAGTCACTGTGGAGGCCAAATATGCAGTCAGTCACCTCTACGATGCCTAGTGGAGTCGAACCCATGGTGCATATCTAAGGGACTGATCAACGCAGAAAGGAGGAATTCACTACCGTCGTGCTTAATCTGGACGAAAGATTTCCGCAGTTTCGTAAGAATTTCCAATCGACGCAAATGTGAACGGTGAATTCTTCTCCGCAGCAACGCCTAGTGTGGACTCGGATGTGGGGCAGAGGCATCTCTGTTGGAAACAGCGTTTCTTTTTTCGTGAACCCTTTGCACTTTTAGCAGTGCTTGATCTGCTGTGCGTGCGAAACGACTTCCTGCAATCTCCACTTGACGCCATGTCCATTTTGATTCCTTTACCCGTTAGAACAACGAGCTTTGTCGTGCTATCGAGGCTTGAAATACTCGACTAGATATGCAACTCCTAGCGCGAGCGTAGTTTTGAAATACCACACAACAGTAGTTTTGAGATTGAATTTAAAAAGCCATTCATATCGGTGCCTATCCACGTCTTCACAATCGCTCTTGAGGTTGTAGAGAAGATAGCGGATCAAATTTTGAAAAGTTGCAGGTAGCAAGTCGCTGGCCGGAGTACAATATCACTACGTTCATGCCACTTTGGTTGTTCACCGATCAGTACGCCATCATCGTTCCTAATACGGTATGTCACTGACGTATTAGATTAACAGTAATAAAAACGGTTGTGGTCCGCTAGAGTGCTCTACAATCTACGAGAAGTACAGTACCTACTTCTGATGATATCCACTTATTCCTTCATAATGAATATCACTAGACTACCAGAAGGGCAGTGTTGAAACAATGCTAGGATGAGTAGAAAATTTGGGATCAGAAAATTTTCTCGAAACCGTCTCATTGCGATCTATTAAATATCGCGAAGTATCGGTAAGTAAAATGAACTCCATTTCTCCTCAAATAAAACGCTGAATACAGTGAATTCTACTACGAATAAACGTGAAAAGTTCGAAAAAAGCTTGGATTTCGATATAAACCTCGAGATAGCTGACAACCCACCTCCTCGTTTAGCTGCACATGCTCACAGGGAGGACTGGAGCAGTACTTGGTGGACGTGGTGTGTTTCAGGTGCAGAACATCGTCATCGCGCTCACGTGCATGGTGCTGATCGCGTTCGTACTGATTCCACAGCCGATGTGTGCGTTCTGGGTAGCATTGGCATGTGCCTCCATTGACTTCGGTGTCGTAGGCTACATGACCCTATGGGATGTGAATCTGGTACGATTTCACAGTATTTCAATAAATGCAAATACAATTCAAGGAAGAAAAGCAAGTAGATACCGCTCTAACACAGTGACTTAATTTTTCATAGCTTTCAAGATCTCTTTCCGTTTGGTCTTGAATTAGATTGGTTTTACGAGCAGAACTAATGCACACAGCTCTGAAAGAGATTCAGGACGCTATTTCTATGATCACCATCATTATGTCGATTGGGTTTTCTGTCGACTATGCGGCCCACATCACTTACGGCTACGTGGTTTCCGATGCACTCACACCAAGCGACAAGGTCAGAGACGCGCTGTCAGCTCTCGGATGGCCGTTATGCCAGGTAGATACGAACCGCTTCCTCGGAGAACTATTGAAATTTGACACTGAACGGAATTTTACCGGGTAGAAACGAAAAGGAGAACCTTATGGAGATTCTGGTGGTTGTGCTGGTCACAGAAACACTCCATTTTTTATGACAAACTTCAACTAATGCATTGTTACATATGCATATACTCTACGTGTAAATAGTATGTGTAGCAAGTTTCAAAATAAGTGGAAGTACATAGTTGAAATACAACCACAACGGTGCTGGGACATTCGCAAAACTTGGTCTCTGGCCAGATCGAACTACGATTACCTTTTCCGGGGTTCACGTATTACACACTGCACCACGGAGGCCTTTGTTTTACGTTTTTCTTACCTAGTTTCCTACCTATTGCTGCCATCAGCAATCACTCGTCATCGAGATTGATCTGGGGCACGCAAATAGTTGAAATATGACTTCGATTCCAAATTTTAGTTTGGAAAACGAAGCCGTCGAGGATGAGAACGCTTGATAGTGATGGAGCAGCTCAATTTTTAATACGGTAGTGCGGTTACGATCCGGAAGATAGTTTAGAGATGGAACACAGAGAAACAAGAAAATAGGTAAATCACGACTTGTAAGAGTGATATTCCAGGGAGCAATGTCGACGATCATCGCCGTGTCTGTACTGGCAGATGTTCCGGCGTACATGATCATCACATTTTATAAGACGGTAACATCTTTGAAATGAATGCTATGGATTTCTTAGTTGCAGTATACCTCGTCCGTCTAGGTACTGCTCTCGATATTGATTGGTCTTCTGCACGGACTCGTCTTTCTGCCGGTTCTTCTGTCGACGTTCGTTAGAGGTTGCTGTTTCATAAGTCCTAGTGCTCAAAATGGACTCGATAAAGAGAAAGTGAGCCACATGTACTGTTGGATTATGTACTCTTTAATCACGACTGCTCAGGTAACTCCGGCACTAACACAAGGAAGCCCTGCCCTCGAATGCGGCGAGCACTGGACACCTAACGCACTTCACTCGATAGCATCGTTTTACTACAGCACACTGCACGTTTTCCTATCGCCAACACAGAATCTCACTGCATCCACTCAGCTGTCACCACAGACCGTCGAAGTGCAATCGGAAGCGATCCACAACCGTTCACGGAACTCGATGAAATCACCGGAACATCTAGAATGAATGTCACGGTCCTCGTAACACACTTGAATGAATTACTATTTCACCAATACGTTTTACTCCATTTAACGGTAAACTGTTATCAAAGAGCTTTCTAAAAACTAAAGTCTTCAGTAACAGATTCTATCAGATTTCTATTATTCATACACTAATCACCCAAATTCCCACCATCTTTTCACACCTTTTGTTCACTTTACTCCCACAGATCTATATATTCACATTATTTATATCAATGAGATGATATCAGTATACGGGAACATTACGGACTACATCCATTCCTACACGTACTACTCCATGTCTGCTATGTAAATCATGATTGTAATGTAATGTGTGCTTGTAACTTCATGTGCGGAATTATCATATAACAAATCTGATATCAGCATTGTAGAACGGTTTATTCTCTTCATGAGGAATCACACAAGTTGTAGATCTTCACGGAGAACTACCAATATCGACTATGTGGGGCAAGGCAATGTGCGCTTAAGTTCATACCAGACCAACTAAGACCGCAAAAAGTGAATCAAGCAATAGAGAGTACTTACTTGATGTGGCATTCTGCTATGTACCAACACAAACATATGACTTACTACCACATAGTATTGCAGTTCTTAACATAAAGACTGCTCAATTAACTTTCGAATACGTAATGTGCAGTAGATGAACTACAACACAACTGATTTGCGAAAAAAGACATTCGAACATTGACAATCAATTGCTAGTTTTGTTGAACAGTGATTCACATATAAGTACTCGAAGACAGCTACCTCGAAATGTGCACCTAAAATGAGTAGAACAATTCGTTAACGTGAGAAATGGTCGTCGAGCAGTGCTTGCCGGCAGTTGCGGCTGGCCACTGACGGGCGAATTTCTTGCGCTGCACACCTTTCCGACGTTTGCTCACCGGTTTATATGACTCGTCGCATGAATCTTCGGCAGTCCTTCGATTCGTCTGACACGATCTGACGCTATCATAACGTTCGTCCCATTTCCATACCGATGTTACACCATCCCACTGAAGAACAATACAAAACATGCAGTAAAGAAAAACCATGGAAAATCTACCATTTACATTATTGGGCAATCGGCTACAAATGCTCATCCTCACTCAATAAACATCGATGATTCATTGTTTGTCCCATATTTTCTAACTCAGATTATAAGTAAACAACAAACTAACAAAGCTCTCTATTAATTTAGATTTCCTGAAGTGGCATGAAATTCACTGGCAACACAAATTAACTTGTATAGGAGAACAACCAAAATGAAGCAAGGTTCGTGTCACTGAATACTAACTTGACAAAGTGTTCAAGAACAAAACTTGGTACAATGTTACTCTATTTGCTGTAACAATAAAAAAAGGAATTATGGATCTCATAAATCATTTTATTATTCATGCCCTTCATGATTCAGTCTGTCATTCGATGACTGCGCATAATTCTTCGTTAACAAGAATGTTTGAGAACTGTTTACCTTCTAAAGATACACAGAATTCTTCCAAAATGTTCCGTATTTAAAAATGCTTAAAATTCAAGAATTTAAATAGTCAAAAAGCAGATCTCAGCAATTCTATGTGCCTAAGAATAGTATGACCTTGTAATTCAACACATTAACAAAACTTACCACACTTATCTTGAAAACCTGGTAAAGTCATAGTCACAAAGAACATTGCTCTATCGCTATAGAAGTACATATCCACAAGTGTAGGTTCTATATATATATATATATATATATATATATATATATATATATATATATATATACGTATATATATGTATGTCCATATAGGAGCGGATAACACAGTGATAGCGGTGTGTGTCATCACAAGCATGGTGCTCGTTCGATTCCGCTCCGGTCTAACCGAGCCTCTCATAACGCCGGAGTCGCGAAATTGGTACCGGACTTGTCTGGGGAAAAACCACTTTGCAGTCCAATTTGGAACGGTCCAGTCCGGCTGTCTCAGGACTCCCGAGAAAACTGCTCAACCAGCATTCCACGACATTCAACATGGAAGGAAAAACCTCAAGCAGCAACCGAAGCCATACCTAAAGTTGAAAGATCTTCGTGAGCTGCTGATGAGGGGAAACGAATTGAATTTGAGAAGTGCCGGGACCAGTACAGTATACGTGAAGACAGGTCAAATAAAATAAAATATATATGTATACGTATATGTATCCACGGATCTCCCTCATATGAGGGATCTCGAGCCGGTTAGTCGCGAGGCTACGTGGCACGTCCCGAGGTGGCGGACAGCGGATAAATCGCGGACCAAAAGCGACATTTGCTTCCCTGAGACGCAAGTGAATCCATGGGATGGACTCCCTGTTTCACCTGCGCCGATTTGGCACATACTTTCTGTATTTGCTAGGCGTATTCACGCATGTGTGTGTGTGGGTGCGTTGTTGCTTATGCGGATTTTATTCCACGAGTCAATTCGGCCAAAAGCCTGCAATCAAGTGACCGGGAAGTATATGGGAGGCGATTAGGAGTCGCCTCCAACAAATAAGCTCCATGTCCACTCTGGGAGAACCTGGCAGGCTACCCGTGACTATAGCTACTTCTACGTTCAGAGTCCAGCAAGCTACACGTGGGTATCAAAAATACTAAACACAGTAAAAAAAAACGGACCTCATTCCCCTGACCCCGAAAAGAGCCCTCAATTTCGCAGCGTTGGGTAGGACGAGTACGGAGAGGCTGCAAAAATCTCAGAGCTAATGGAAGCTGTCTGGATTTCAAAAAACTATGCTGACGATCTGTACCTACAATGCACGTACACTTGCATCCGAGTCCTCGATAGACTTACTCATGCAAGCAAGTATAAGGTACGACGTCATCGGCCTGGCGGAGACGAGAAGACGCCAGCCTTTCAACGTCGTCTATAACACAGGACAAGAACTGTTCCTCGGAACATGCGACAGTAGAAGAGTCGGCGGCGTCGGCGTTCTCGTCAACACGAGTTTGTCCATGAACATCGATTCATTCGAATAACTTACAACCTGAATCGGACGTTTGCGATTAAGAAGACGTCAATAACGGCTTTGACAATCTTCGTCATTTACGCGCCGACACCAAACTATGACGAAGAAGAAGAAACGTTCTATATGGACTTGCAGAAGTTCTAGAGAAGCCCACACATTCTTCAAGGTCATCATTGGTGATTTCAACGCCAAGACTGGACCAAGAAGAACGTCTGCAGAACGTCACATTGGGACCCACGGATTAGAGTGGAACGAACAGGGTGAGCAGCTGTCTGAGTTTACCATGGTGACCAAGACAATCCATGGTAACTCGCAATTCCAGAAGCCCCACTCTCAGCGCTGAACGTGGGAGTCTCCCAATGCAGAGTACCGTAACGAAATAGACCACATCATAGTAAATAGAAGGTTTTGCCTAGCCGATGTCGCTGTTGTCCCAAAATTCTATACAGGATCGGACCATCGTCTCCTTCGTGCAAGATTCTATTTCTCGCCGAAAGGAGAAAAAGCCGCTAAATTCCAAAACCGAAGTCCCAGAACCACCGCGAACTGGAACTTATTCAATTCATTAGTCGGATATTGGAATATGCCGTTGTCGATAACATCGACGAAGAATACGATCGGCTCGTTCAACATCTTCACGCTAGCGCTATGAAAGCTGTGAGTTCGAAAGTCACCAAGAGACGTCTGCCTCCAGAAGCACTCGAGCTGATACGTCAGTGTGGATTCGCACGAGCTGCAGGCAACCGCTAACTAACGTTCGAACCTGCAAAACAATGCAGAGAGGCGATAAAAGAAGATGTTAAAGAGCGAAGAGCAGCAGTAATCGCCGAAGCTGCAGAGGCTAGGAAAGCCCACTAAAGCTTTGCCAACTACAAGACCAAGGTGATTGCGCTTCGACGCGCAGACGGAACAGTTACAGCGTCCAGAAAGGCAGTGGAGAAAATCATTCACGAATACTACTCGGATCTCTTCGATAGCCACGTCCACCTTCTGTCATATGAAATGAAGGAGGATGGATA